AATTTATTATATCTCTCAGTTGGAAAGTGCACTATGATTGGTTAATTTATTATATCTCTCGTTTAGAATGTGCATTGTGATTGGTCAATTTATTTTATCTCTCAGTTAGAATGTGCACTATTATTGGTCAATTTATTCTATTTCTCAGTTAGAATGTGCACTATGATTGGTCAATTTATTATATCTCAGTTAGAATGTGCACTATTAATGATCAATTTATTGTATTTCTCAGTTAGAATGTTCACTGTGATTTGTCAATTTATTATATCTCTCAGTTAGGATGTGCACTATGATTGGTCAATTTAAGGAGCTGTATTTTCACTGTGCAGCCTGCTAAAATAAATTGTTTGATTGAATTGAAATCTTCCTCCTCTATTTGAACCCACGCCTGTTAAACATTTTACGGAACCTCACTTTTCATGCTCAGATTTATGGCCCACACACTTCTCACTGGGGCCGTAAATCCAAGTGGAAAAAACCTTGGTCAATAACTTAGAATACAGACCTCAAACTCCGTTGGTAAGAGGTATTGATTTAGACATCTTCTTGAACCCTTCTTATGGCTATTGATTAAAGGCCTCTTAAGTTTTTACATATCTTTTTCCATCCAGATTATCAAACAATGAGAGTCGTTATTTACTCTCTGTATTTGACAACCACCAATTGTGATTCATCAGTTGAGCTGTTGTTGAGAAATGAATAATTCTCTTACATTGTGATTGCAAAATGATTTAATCCTTTTTCTTGATTGCACAACAAGAGAGCTGAGCATTTCTTTGTTGTTTTTTCAGTATTGATGATGCCTGTTTAAATGATGGCCATGGTTACACTCCAAAGTCCATATATTCTTGGTTAACAAGAATAATGTATTACAGGTATTTCGTACTCTTTAAATGACATTTCTGGGATAATTGTGTGAGAAAACACATACTTTGGAAGATTAATCCCCAAAGTTACTTCCTGCAGTCACAAGTTTACATCTTGGTGTCTTTGTTGTTGTTGTTGTTTTTTTTTTTTTATATAGGCGCACACGTTTTGATCCCCTGTGGAATCAAGTTGTTGTTGGTGGTGTCCACAATGGTGAAAGGTGAGCCTGTTGATAAATAAATCAAGTTATCTTTGCTGCTGTAGCTGTCTGTCAGAAGATGTGTCTCAACAATTTAGAGCGTTTTCATCCATGTGGAAACAGCCATGATGATTCATTGCAACAAGAACCACTGTTTGAATACCATCCTTATCAATGTGGCTCCCTAGAGTATATAGGAATAAACCTCCCTTCAGAGCATTAGTAATGAAAGGAAACCTATAGAGTCATTGATTTATCCCAGTTTTCCTTTAACGCTTTAACTCCCAGTTCAAATTTGTTATTCTCCTTACAGTCAACCACACAATTCTCATAAAGTTAGTTCAGATAATTTAGCATAGGATCAATTAGTTATCCCCAAATTGATTTTTTTTTATTCTCATCACTTATCTGGTTGATATTGTGTTGATATGGTAAGGAGAAATTCTGTCTTGGTCACTCATGGGAGTTAAAGGGTAAAGAGATTTACCAGTTTGGCTAGCAATATAATATTCTGTTCAAGGTGTCAAGTTTTAGATTAATGATGTTACCATGAAAACATCTTTAATGACAGGCAGATATATTCCAATTTTTGACCTTAATACCTTTAAAGATATCTTGACATTTCTTGAGTGAAATATCTTCATTCCTAGCCACATTGTGAAAATTATATAGCCTGACCTTATAAAATTATAAAATGTAAGGTTGTTCAGACAGTTTTGCCAATATCCTCTAATATGTCATATTTCTAAATATGTTGGACTAGCTTTGACAGATTGTAACAAAAATAGGTCATTTGATATGAACTGTATGTGGTCAGGACTGAGTTAATTTTTGGAAAAAATTTACTAAAGGAAATGTGACAAATCTCACTCCTTTTTCTTACCCCAAAACATTACATCATAAAATAGAAATTTGCCAAGATTGATATCTGAGCATGCATAAACTTTCAAATCTGTCTTCCTTTCACAATCTTTCCCCAGGTATTAACTTTTCTGTTGACCTCTTTTTAGGCGTAGAAGGCCCATGAACATCATGGGTATAGTTGCTGTAAAACCCTAGAGTCCATTAGAAAAGCTGTATTTTGATACTTTTTTTAAACACCATGTTTGTTTACTTGTTGACATTTTTGAAGCTTGCACAATGTATGCATTCAGATCTTAGGCAGTCAAAAGCCCTATGAAGCCTCCCTAAATGCTGAAGCACTGATTAAATTTTGGGCATTTCTCATGTGGGTTTTATTTGATGGCAGTGTTTATTTGAAAGAGGCATTTATTTCAAACTCTTATTTCTTAAATCACTGACAACAATTGGGGTAAAGTGTATCTTTAAGTATCAGGTAGAGTAGAAATGTGCTTTTAGTTAAAATCTTTCCCTTTATTTTTTTGAGCATGGTATACTTTCCTGAATTATATGCAATTCATTATTTTTTTTCTTTCAAGCTTCAAGTAAATGCAGCATTCTTCTGGTTGGATGGGGCATACAATCAAGGGGAATGCCTACTGATAACTTTGCATCTATCTTCGCTGGGTGTTATCTTTTGGGTGGCATGAAAGAAGTAAATCCAACAATTTATGTTCTACCCCTTTCATGGGTTGGGATACAGTGTGAACAAGAAACAAACCTACTCAAAGTTAATCCACAATGCTTTTTGTTGCCTGGTAACATTAAAAAGTTTAACATGGCAGCTGGATTAAGTACTTCACTGTCAGGGCATTTGAATAAGCACTCTGGTGACCTATATTGTTTTTCTTGTGTGGTCAACAGTTTCCTGGGATGTGTTGACAAGATTGGCATAGCTTTTGAAGCACCCACAATAGCCACTGGGTTTGGTGCATATCTTGCCCAGGTGAGAAATACATGTATTGCATTTCTTGTTTGGTTGCTTGCCAAGCCTATGAACAGGAGTGAGGCTAAGGGTGATCTTGTTGTGACACAAACCTTGCTGCTTTTCAAATGTAAATTACTTTGTTATCATGCTAGATACTGGTCTCAAGGGTTAGGGTTAGGGTTAGGGTCACCTTCAGCCTCACTCCAAACCAAAGGCTGGGCAACTACACAACTGTAAAATAGCCTATTCTTGATTTGAAACATTGATTGGCCACCAGTTAGCAGATAAATAATAATGATAATAAGCAATAATAACTCATGTATAGAGGGGTTCTACCACATTCCTTGTGCCTCACAACTACATGTTTAAATCAAGTAAAGCAGTGATCCCCACAGGTGTGCTGCAGTTGTAGCAATTGCAGAAAAGAAGCTTAAAAAAATTCAGGTTATGACACGATTTGAACCCAGGTCTCCCAAGTACTAGTTGGATGATACTACCAACTGAGCTACCAAGCCACATGTTGGGAATGAGGCAAATTTTAGGTTTGTCTTCCTGTGGAGGAATGCGATTGCATTTTCTTTTTTGAGATTTGTTTCATAACAAGCCTAAAGCAATGCAGTCAGTGATAAAGTCTACATGTATGTCATTGTCTGATGAATTGTTTTCCTGTTGGGGGACTTTAAGCTTCAGATTATGTTATATACCACCATGTTTTTAAGTTTATGTAGTTATGTAGTATTACTAAAGTACCTTGTGTAAAATTCAAATTGTTTTCAACAAACTGTACCTCTTTTTGGCCAGGGTATGGCATTGCAGTCTGGTGTCAATTCCAAAGATTTCTGTTTTTCTCCTTGTTTGTTTGGGGTCTATAAAAGTCCTCCTCTAAATTTACTTGTTCCATCATAAAGAAATTCCTCTAAGCCAACTGGGAGGTGTGAAAAAGGAATGCACGCATCGAATATGGAATTTTCCTGCACTTATCTGTAACTGCCAGTGCAAGGCCAGCCAATTTCAATGGTTGATTTTGTTGAGGAAACTTTGTTGTCAGATTTAAGTTTTGATTATTCTTATTTCTGATTTCAGCCAATTCTTCGCGATGCATTTGAAAAAGATCCCAGCATGTCTCTAGAGGAGGCTAGGCAAGTGATCACTAAATGTCTGCAGGTGTTGTTTTACAGAGATGCCAGGTCACTAAACAAGGTTTGTATTACTTTTTGTACAATGTTGAATCTACAAGGTGTCACTTTTCGTTTGTGTCCAAAGTCAAAGCAGTTAACAATGGATGTTTATTTGATTACAGTACGAAATTGCAGTCATTACAAGTGATGGTGTTGTGATTGAACCAGCTACCAGTGCGCAAACCAATTGGGAAATTGCTCCAATGGTCAAGTGAGTTTCAACAGTGTTTAATTGCAGACACTAATTTTTTTTATTTATGACTGGTGTTGAAATGAATATTCTCGTTATACTAACGTGTACATTTTAAATTTTATTTGCAGAGGCTATGAATAATTCTTGGATAGTGTGGATGTTTTCCTTTGCCGTCTTATTCTTCATATATCATCTTTTGTGGTCCTGTATAATACATCCTGAGAATGTGCTTGTAAAGAAAACTGATAATAAAATATCAAACCCTTTCAGTAATTTCTGTTTGTTTGTTGTTTCTGCTTTTGTTTTTTACGTGAAGGTTTCCAAAATGGGAAATCCTAGAACAAGAATTTTGAATACCTTCAATGTATGTAAAGTAAGTACTTGTTCTGTTTCTGCGCCGGTTTTGTTGGTTTTTTAAAGTGGGGGTGGGGACTAAGTATGGATGTGACCTCTCCCCCCGTCTTTGTCAAAAGATGATCTTACATAACCCCCAACTGCGTATAATACAGTTTGTTTACTCTACCCACTCCCCTAAATGTAAAATCAAGGCCCACCACGAAGTTCAACCACGGGTTACTTAATGTAGACACAATTCAATATTTAAATGTTGCTCAGAGGGCTGTCAGTCATGTCCTGCACTAGAGCCACAATGAGGAGTGTTGTCAATTACCTGTAGGCCATCTTAAGATCATATAGGGTTTTTATTCATCCCAGGAGACGGGTAAATATATAATATTCAATAAAATGCTTACTTTTATTAATTATAACCATGCAATCAATTTCCTTCCCAACACGTCCTTGAAGTAAGTTGGTAAACAAGATATAATCAGCTAATCAATTGATGTCAGATGAAGAGTCATTGTCAGCTACATTACGATGAATTAAGTTACACATGATACGAATCAAGCATTTCAAGTGTCCTTTTAATCATAAGCGTCTTTAATGCAGAATTAAAGTTCAGCTGCTCCTTTTCTGACCTTAAATGGAGAGATACAAAATATCTAGGTCTCGCTCAAATTTCATGGTAGTAATTCTTATTAATCTCATTTATTCATTATAACCAGTATTAACAAATAATAACCATGTTTCTGATAAATCTTACCATTGACTAATGATGAGTAAGATTCCTTTTGATTCTTGTTCTACAGTCAACTCTCTCTTAATGACCACTGCAATAGATGACTCTTTCTTGATCAAATACTCTTTCCTAGAACTCTCCAAAGCAACTACTGCTTGAACTCCAACTGTGACCATTTTTAGGGCTAGAAATGATTTGTCACGGAACATATTTCAAAGTGCAAAGGTGCCCATCGTAATTGTTAATAATAAATTGAAGAGTTACAGTTTATAAAGAAAACGATTTCTCAAAAGAAATAATAGTAATTGATGGATCTTGCATATAATTTTCTTCTAAAAGGCCACCTCCCTTAGGCAACTTCTTTTTCCTGTTTCAATGGTGGTCGCATTTTAGGGGAGAGTTGACTGTAATCACTTTTGTTGGTCAGATAATAAAGACCAATCAGACTATTCCACAACTTCCATTGAACTCATATTGAAGAAAAAAATTAGTGAAGATAATTTTCTAATCTATCATAGCTTAAGGTCAAATGTTTCAGTTATGCTGTATTATCGTGCAACATATATAAATTGAAAATTCATTTTATTATTTGCTCTTTTTTCTTGATCAATTAAAATTGCCATTGAAATCATATTGAAGAAAAAAATTAGTGAAGATAATTTTCTTATCTAGCGTAGCTTAAGGTTAAATGTTTCAATTATGCTATATTTTATTCGTTGCCGTTTTATCCTGATCAATTTAAAACTGCCAACGGTCTGAAACTCACTTCGCTTCTAGAATTCTCATTACACTTTCTTTGTCAATGCCAGGAACAATTTCATGGTGTAGTAGGCGTCGTTTCCAGCGTTATGGAGAATATTCTCTTCATACGAAATACCCAGGTCACCCATCAGGCGCTTCAGACCAAACACGTTCAAGGTTTTCTCGTCGGTCAGCAGTGCTAGGCCAAGCAGCTGAGTGTCGAACATTGGTTTCCCTTTCAAAGACATGCCGTTTCTGGCAAGGTAATCTTCATCATGTCCGCCCGAGTGAGTCACCAGCACATCTACATCCCCGATATACTGCGAGAACTTTCCAGCGGCATCTGCAAGGGACATGCGCTGTGAGGTGCCAAATCTGAAGTTGTCTCGGTTGTCGGAAACATAATCCCTGTTCACCATATGGAGGTTTTCTTTGATGATAAAATGATGAGCTTGCTCGTTCCCCTCAGGACTGGCTAGGGAAGTGATGACGAAGCCAATTTCGAGAATTTTGCTGTGATCGTTTTCATATGTTTCGATGTCAATCGCCATTGCCCGAGCATTAGGTTTCCTTTGCAGAAAAGTACGGAGTTC